CATATAATAAATTCATACAATAAATTTTTCGATATATTTTATGTTACAGCATTACATGTAGTACCATTATGAAAATAAAATATTATGAAGTATTTTGAAAAGCTTATTTACATACATTTTTTAACAAGAACAAAAGGAACTTGTTTTATGTCATGACAAAAGTTAACGAATTAATCTATTTTAGTAATCTGTTTTAATTTTCGTTGGAGTATAACTCTTTTAATCTTGGAGTTTTTTTAAATTAATTTCACGTGTGACTGAAAGTTAAAATACTTTTTTTTAATGAACTAAGAAAGGTAAGAAGTAAACAATAATAAATCTGATATTAACTTGTACACAATCTATCTTTTTATAACATGCATTTTAAAGTTATTGTCGTATAATATAATTTGTTTGTTATTTTGAAGTTAAATTAATTCTTTAAAGAAAACTTTCATTTTATTTTTTGGCTTAAATTATAAATATTAATATAATTGATATTGTTTTTATATCATGTGGGACGTATGATAATTTATCTAATGAAATGTAAAAGTTAAATAGTCATGAATAAAATTTTCATTTTTTAAATGGGAATATGATAAATTCACTGTTTTCAGTCTTTGTCACAAAGGTGATTCAGAGTCTGTAATTTATTGTCAATAGAAATATTTCTCTACATCATAGTTTGACAGGAGAAAATCCATAAGTAACTCAAACGAATATACATATTTTCATAAACCATAATATATTACATAACTTCAAATTATACCTGAAACGTCCGGTTTCCAAATGATATACCAATTACCTATATTAGAAATTTTATTTTTATTGATAATTTTTCATTGGGATAATGAGCCCCAACGACTTACCGAAAACGTCGCCCACTACTAACGTTTTCACTCGAATAAAAGATAATGCGACGGCAAATAATATACTTAAAATAGGCACTCATTAGCTTTAAAATACAGCAATTAACATCGGTAGCCGACTGGTAGCTGCTGTGAAAGACGATAGTGTTGCTCTTTCGACGAATTTTTTTTCATCGGCACGTGGCCATCCGAATTCGGATTGTTGCCACATGCACTCTGCACACGCGAAATCCAGCAGTCGTTAAATTGAATATAGTCTCGCATGCCGTTCGCTCGCTTTCCGGCAAACACTATGCACGACCTGCATTTTCAGGTCGGTTTTTCTTGCACTCTAAAAATACGGTTAGCAATTACTTCGCCAACACACATTTGTTTTTACTTTTCGTTGCGTGCTACTTCACCGTGGTAATATAGCGGACGCTCCAACTGCGGTGATTGGTATCTTCTATTCACGCGATACTCATCGAAACTGTGTTAGAGAGACAATATACCTACGCAATTTCAGCCCACTAGCCTGCCATCGTGGCCAAAGCCTCCCGAATCAGTGACGCATCTGCAGAAGCCCGTCCGAGGACTAATAGATATTGTAAGATATATTTTTTTTTTTTACATATATATACCTGTACACATTTTGATACAAATACTAATAATATGGTTATCATCCTCCTCGCCCCCGACGTTTCTTGATCATTATTATTTTTCCAACATTAATAAACATCCTGTTTTTTCAAAATAATATTATACAAAAAATGCTAATTTCAACAAGCACATGACAAAAAATCACAGCCAAACACAGATATGCCCAAGTAAAATATTATGTTAAAGTTGTCAAACACAATGTCATAACTACTACCCATCGTTGGGGTTGGACTGATTTGGTTTTTTTTTAAATAATAATATAGTAAATGAAAGAAAAATAAGAATTCAATAAATTATATGATTTTATCTTCACTGGTGGGAATAGACAGCCGGTTTCAGATACAAAACACAAAAGAGCCATAAATTTGTTTCACGCACTTTATTTATTTTACTCATGTTTAATTCCTTATTTTCTTCAACGAGGTATGTTTTATACATTTGCTTTGTCAATCGCAAAATATTATGAATGCAGAATAAATTATTTTATATTTTTTTACCTGTAGAAATATAGTATGAATGACATTTTTTACGGTGGTTTGGTTACAGTTTTTAGTTATATTACAATAAGCACGTTTTGAAATCCAATCAAATCGAGATTCTCAACATAAGTAAATGGTTATGACTTTTCATACTCCTTTAATGATCTTTGTTGGAAATAATAATTATTTCTGAAACACTCAGTGGGGGCATTGAAAAATAAAACTGCTTGTCAGTTTCATTTTGTATGATATTCTAACCACAATAATAAAGCCATATATTATTAAAAGTGCTATGCCATATTCAAGTTTCTCCGCTGTTAAAAAAAAAAGAATGGACGCTACAGCTAGGTACGATTTTAAAAGTCAACTGTGCAATTGACCACGTGAATACATTGCATTTGACAATTATTTAACCGTACAGTTTAATATAAGCATTATGTTTAATTGATTTAAATAATCACAAACTATAATTATACAAAAATACAATTCACTACGAAAACGTATACCTAAGTACTAAAAAAAAATGCTACCAAATAATATACAATATTTTTATACCATCTAGTAATATTATTTAATAGGGAAAAGGTATAATGATTTAAAAATAAACCAATAACCACTTAGTTCAAATTGTAATGACATGTGAAAGAGTACATTTTATAACCGAGCAATAAATTGTAGCTTAAAACTATTCAATAGGTGATCAATATTAGGTGCAATTCAGTTGGTTCTTCTCAAAAAAATCGATTAAAACCAAAAAAAAAAAAATTAAGGAAAACTGGAATATGTATACGCAGCATCAGTGATGTATTTAAAGTTGTTGAGGCACGGGGCTAATCATTTTTTTCGCCCTCGCATCTGCAATATGCAAGTTTATTCAAATGTAGGTGTACAATTTATAACAGGTGTAGTCATAGTATATGTTGGCTTTAACACATTGAGCCAGTCACACGTAATCGATTAATTTACACTATGACCCGTCTATCACTAATGCAAATAGTTTTATGATAAACGAGAAATATTATTATAATATAATTTTCTTATCACGCCCATAATAATCGACTATCAACGATCGGCGATATCCACAAAATCATCTTAAGGTGGAAAATATGGATATTTCGCTAAAAATAAACGAAAACACGAGTCAACTATACTGCTGTTAATTTATTTTATAGTGCCGTTGATTATAAATAATTACTATTTACACTATTTACACTTTTTTTTTCACTATGTATAATCAATGCTTTAATCAGCTTTAATAAAACTTCTTTTATATTTATATTTTTGTATACGTTTTAAGTTAAAACATTATGAACTTTTACTTCCGTTTGAAATGTTTAACTGTGTTTGATAAAAATAAAAATGGTCTATTATAAAAAATTCCAAATTAAACAAAATGAATTAATTTTTTAAAAAACACACATTTCTTCAGATTTTTGTGTCCCTTAAAAATTGGTAGCCCAGGGCTAAAGCCACAATAGCGGCAGCACTAGCATTGGACAAAATCGATTTGGTATTTTTCATTTTTTGTTGTTATTCAAGGGTTGGGTAACCTAACCTAACATCGTTAACTTAATGATACATTATTTATTGAAATACCTTATTATTATTGTAATATTATTAATCATATTTTATTTTAAATTGTATTTCCAATTAAATGATTCTTGTTTTAATTTTTGTTGATAATAATTATTGAAGAAAGTATAGGTAATTTTTCAATTATTGGTTTCTCGGCTGATATTTACAAAATATCTGCACTGCTACACCTTAAGACAGTGCTTATTATATTTTAGTTTTCATGCTAGGTATTATGATTCTCAGATTATTATGGACCCTGTTTTACTATATGCCTAAGTGCTTAAGTAGCATAATGGTTGTTTGAGGTGGATAAGATTTTGGCTATAAATTCGACATCAATATTATTATGTATTTTGCTATGATAGAAAACAAGGCCGTATTCATTAAATTTTTATCGGGGGGAGAAGGCAAAAAGTATTAAAATTGTAGTCCATATAATATGGATAATAGGTATGTCATGACGTATCATTACTATGGCCTGCACTTAGATGTTCCAAAACTAACCAAAACTAAACTATTAAATGCATTTTAATCTCAATAATGACCTTAAAAAATTAATAAAATTGTTTTTTGTAAACATGCAACCGAGCAGCCGATAGATAAATGCCGTGTTTAACTTTTGGTCTTTTTAACTCTTTTTCTATTATACTAAGTATAAAGTATATTAAGTCTTAATTATTAAACTAACAGTTATATAAATTCAAAATACCGAGCTTAAGCACTACGACGAATAAACAGTATACTGGAAATAAATGCGATCGATAACTGACCAATTAGTTGTTATTCGATTTGAGTCCCAGTAATACATTGCATACTATAATCACATAGATGAAAACGTCATCCCATTCATACATAGAACAATTGACATTTGGTACGTATGAAAAGCCCCTAGAAAGCAAATATAATGAAAACAATAATCTACCCATAGGTACCTCCTAATCTCGACTAAATATTTTGAATTTCCAAATTTCCACTAAAATCTGGTACAATGAATAAATACATGCTTTAACAATGAAAATTATTACTTAAAAACGATAAAAATGGAAAATAAAAGTTTCAATTTTGAAGTATCTGGTACACGAAACGAATTTTATCCTTGGAATGCATTACCATAGAAAAACCAAAAACTAATGCACTTTGCATTGCGATCCAGGTGATTACTTATTTACTACTATATTTATTAAATTTTAAATACACACGATAAAGGTTTAAAAAAAATAAAAGGTTTCCACACCATTTGGATGAACAAAAGTCTGGTATGGGCCCGTCTGTTTGGACCCCCTTTTCCTGAAACAAAACATCGATATAAATTATAAATCATAGATTCAAAATATATTTTACACTAATGGTTTGGCCAAAAAATATGGTGCTTTACATTGCGCTAGAAAATAAACTACAAAATATGAAATAACGATTTCGGAACGCATTTCTAAAATAATAAAATTTGTTTTTATTATAGGAACGGTTCAAGGTAATGGCTAATGTGGCAGTGAATCGGGCTAACATGCTGACCCGATTATGGAAGTATGGTGATCCCGAAGTAACAGCCTCCGAGTATTTACTGCACGCCGGCGTTATATCTATGGTAGAGTTCGATAACGACATATTTGCCGCCGGAAACTGCTATGACCAACATCAGTACAAGAAATATTGGCTGTTTTGTCCATACGCTTACAGACTTCCAGACGGCGACGGCATATTGGCCAAAGATTTGGCCGTCGAGTATAACTATTTATCCAACACCAGTGAATGGTTTTTCATTGCTCGACATAAAGCACAAGGCGTGATCAAAAGGAACAACCAGTACAGTCATGGTAAGCTAAAAAACAATTGAATATTGTGTACATTTCGTTTTAAAAAAGTACCGGTATACTAAAAAGTAAAAGTACCAATTACAATACTGATATGTGATATGAATTTTACTACGGTTGTGGTAGTATAATACAATTGTTGCAATAAAAAACATATTTTGTTGAATGAGACAAATCACGAAGAACATTCGCGAAACCAATCTCCAACCAATGAAATGGATTTTTAGAAACTTAAAAAAAAACTCCCGAGTGATCTTGAGGAATTCGTATAGCGTAGTAATATCTCATAATGATAATATTTTTTAGCTCTTTGCGAGTTGTATTTTTTTACTTTTGACGTAATTATGCGTTTTTGTGTGGGTTTCGTAGAAACTCAACAACCAGAAATATATATCATTCATCTCAAACTTCGAAATCTCCAAACATTTTTTTGTTTTTCATTATTTATTTCTTTCCACAGGCAGTTGAATTACACGTCAATATTGTTTCTATAAAAACAGTTGTTTTGTACTACTAAAGAAGATATAAATAATCAATATTTACGATAAAATGTTACTTTACATAATTGTTTCAATTTTATTCAACGAAATAACAAATATTTATGTCATGTCAATGATATTATTATTAGTTGCGTGGCCAGGAAGAGAGACAGTCAGGGATTATATTCCTCGGATAAATCCCCTTATTTGTGTCTTTGCTATGCCACCAAAATTCATTTAAATGTATTAATAGTTACAACACCCCTCCCCCCATCGATTGAAAACATAAAATTAATGGGTACGTCACTGGATATTATGAACTGATTTTCAGAGATTTCATTACTTTTATAAATAGTACCTAAATCTTTATATTAAACCATGTTGTCTAGACTAAATTCTATAAACAAAATAACTTGAACAATTATTTTATGAACCTCTCATAAATTAACCCTAAGTCTTCACTACATAAATAACCTATGTTACTTATGTGGGTGGGGCAATGTGAAAGTATTATCAACCAATCAACCAACGTTAGTAGTTCGAAACTCAATAACATCAAATTTATAGCGAAAAGTAACGTAAAACGTCTAAAATATACTATTCCTCAATACAAAACTTTAAAAAAACTGTTAGAAAATAAATTTACTGATTAAGAAATCAATCGAAATCACCAGGAAGAAATAAACATTTTTTATTTTGAAGTATGGATTTGATATTAATATAATATATTATCAATGTTTAATGTTAATATTGTATTTAAATGGTAAATATTATCAACACTTCAATTAATATTATAATAGCGAATACAGTCGTGACGAACATGGACAACCGATTAGTTGAATATTGGTAAAATATAACAGTGTACGAATGGTTTATATTTTTTAGTACATTTAATGCTATGTAGTCAAAAATTTTACGAAACCCCAGGGAAGTCGATATTTACTGTACCTACAGCAGGTTAATTACCAAAATGTATTTCGTCATTGGGTTCACTGTAATTAATGTGCAACGTTTTAATGCAATTATAACTGTACTATCGTTGCGTACGAAAAATTATTCCGCGTAAAAATCCGGTCCGTTAGCCTATAACATAATTTCCAGGAATTTGAATCATATTTACGTAGCATACATTACTTTAAGATAATGTCATGATATTTTACAATATTTTTTAATATGGTAATCGGTACCTATATAATATGTTATAATAGGTTAATAAATGTTAAAATGTTATAAAATATCCATACCTGCTTAGTATGTAAATCTAAATATTTTGAAAATGTCATCGAGTATTGGAAATAAAAGGCAAAAATAAGAGCAACCCACTGTATTTATACGTAATAGAAAAATAAATTACTTTGGCTATATAAATATAATACGTATCCTTAGAAATGGTTTAGGCCGACGGACCATCTCTTCTCGAAATCGTTTATCGTATTGAACGGTATGGTAAAATATAATTTAACCTATAAATATACCACATCCATATTCCTCAACTGTGTGTACTCCACTACCCCTACTCAATTCCGAGCTACAACCAGCACCTACTATACAGCAGAGCGACTTCCCCAGTTACATAATAGTACTGGGAATGTCTTAGATGCCAAGGTACTGACTACAGATCCGATTTGCTACCAGAGACTTCTCACAAAGCTTAATCGAATGTAACGTCGGACAAAAAAAAATTATTCATTCTAAAACCTGTACACTCTTCAATCCGCTCAGAATCTAAAACAATATTAAAACCATAGTGTTGTAAATTTTATCAACCGCAGTAATATTTTTGTTATTATTATTTTCTAACTTCCCAGTGAGCATTTTGCACCTAGTCCACCACAAGTACCTACACTGTTTTACACGAAAAACACATTAAACAAAATTCAAAACGTCCTTTGACAGTTGAACGATAGTTTTTCACCATAATCATGATAATATGGTTATTACAACTATTATTCCTGTGACGGTATGAATCCCAAATAGTTACTGACTCATATTATTATTATAAACATTCACCACACCTTAATTTTGGTGAATATATGTTACATAGGTAATAAAATATATATTTACATCAATCATATTATATAATTAGTCTCAGTATTAAATATTTATGAAAAAAAAAAAATGAAATGAAAACACAAAAGTAGTTACCAAATAGCATAACACTAGGTTTCACACAATCGTAAATTATTGGATTGGATCAACTTTTTAATGCTGAACAATGGTCCATAAAAATTAGCTTTGAAGTTTACTGGATGAATCTATTTTTATTTAATGAAATTGCTTTGCTTGTGGAATTAGGTATGCAATGCCTGGTATACTGATGCCTTTATTCTATTTTGTTTACTTTTTCACACTTGTGTATGGTACTTGCACGATAGACTTTAAGATGAATTCAATAAGAGTCTGGGAATTTCAATGATTGAATGAGTCAGTGGTTATATTATAACTGAATGAATTTGAATACGCCAAACCTATTTCACTAAAAAATTTGTGAAATAACCGTGGGTGCTATACAAATTATCATATCGCTAATCTTGGGGAAGCATGCTATACCGTATTCTTGTATATTATATTGTAAATAAAAATAAAATGTGTTCCGTACTCTAAAAATCATATTGTAATTAATGTTATCAACAATATTATGTTGAATTTGTCTATCATGTTTAAATTGATTAGGTATAAAAAGTTTATCATACAAGATTTTTAAATTTTGAATAGAATCATATAATATGTATTACCAATATGAAATTCACTTATTCCTTCAGATTTTAAAAGAAGAAAACTTAAATTTTTTAATTAATATTTGAATTAAAAAAGGTTCACGAAGAATGCAATGTATTAAACAACTCTCTATACTTTGCAATTCGGAGTCTACATACACTTATTTAATATTTTAGAGGAAACAGTCATATAACTACAATAAATTGAATTTTTTAGGAACTACTAATGGAACAATGTTTGCTTTGTCATACTTATTTGATATTTTATTAGAAAACACATTTTTTAACCATACAATTTTTGAAAATAAAGGTATCCAAAAAAATAAATATATATGTCTAGGCCTTATACTCATATAAAATGATCACACTTTTTATTTCAAACAATAATATAATTCATATAAAATCTTTGTTTGAAGTCCCTGTCCTAATAATTACTTTTAGAACTAATAGGATTTGAATTGATATTATTGAATATTATGATAATACATTTTGGTTGTATGATCTGTAGGTAAGTACAATGTAAATTTAATCAGAATATTTTTGATTAGCTAACTTGAAAACTAGCTAAAATATATTATGCAAACCCATTTCTGATGACAATAATACGTCATGTACAATATTTTTTATAATATTTATTCGAATACACAAAAGTCACCCGATCACCTTCCACCCAACATAATATTATACTATTCTGGTGATTGTCTATTTCACTTCAATTTGTCAAAGGTGAAATAGAAATTTTTAATACGACGTGACCTTTTTGTCATCACGTAACGTGACATTGATACAGCTGTGTGTCATACAAATAGACCTAATGGCAATTAACTGGAGTTAATCACTGGAAGCCTTGTAAGTTACGCATCGATAACATACAAAACAAAAACATTACGATACATGACATTTAGTAAAAATTAAGTGGGTCATAGTATATCTTTAAATTGTATAAACTGTAATTATATATACTCGGTGTATACCTACATATTTAATATTTGTGTGCATTATACATATATTAACGAATTCATATTATATTAAACTCTTATAAAAACCCATGAAATGAAAAATATTTCGAATATGATATTATGGACTATTGTAATAATAATACTTTTGCAGATGCATTGCTTTATAATTTGTTTTTCTTATTATGATGCGAGGAGGTCATGAATAATACATTTGGTACTTTTTGAGGTATACAGAAAACATTTGGACGATCTTGTAAAATATATATATTACATAACATTATAGACTTTAGTAATACAAATGTAACTGCTTGTTATAATAATTATTTATTGAGGTACCTATTGTAGAAATTTTGGGATATTTCACTACTTTAAAAAAAAAAAGAATAATCTTAGATCTTCACTCTAACAAATAATAAGTTGTATTATCTTCTGTAGCATATCTAATATACATTAATGTTTCTTTGGTTGTAAGTCCTCTAAATACTCTAACACTAATGATATTTTTTGAATAAAAGTTCCATCTATATATTCTTTAGACTCGGGCGGTGTTTATAGCTTATATTTGCAACCCCTATAGGAGGGGTGGAAAATCTGGGGCCCTTGTACCCAAAATGGCCATCGGAAAATGTTGAAAACAAGGGAAAAGTTAAAATATTTATTTTACGTATCGGCTTTTATATATTTTTGTGTTTTTGAATAATACATAATAAGACAAGGTCTTTTTATATAAATAGTTTTCTTCTTCTAAATTTAATGGCACACAGGAAAAAAAATAATCAGTAAATATTACCTGACATGCAACGTATGAAAAATTTGCCACCGTTATCTATAGATTGCTATAGAATGAT